TGTCCTCATACCATAGGAATGAGCTTTGCGTTGTGTAGGCTGTGACCAGGTTTGTGTGTGGCACTGAGGCCTAGGCTGTATGAACTGGAATCCGAGTTACTGCCCTCATCCTCCTGATGTGTTAAAATCCGGGTCAAATGCAGGCTGTGACCAAGTGATTTATGATGGGGTGTGTAACAGGAAAGTCCAGGCTGTGTGAGCTGGAATCCGTGTCGCCACTTCCACCCTTCTGCTCTCATGTTGAAACTCTCGCCAGGTGTTCGTTGTTCAGCAAAAAGCGGGTGGAGCGCATGCGCCGGATCCCTTCTTCGGTCTTCTTGACTCTATCATGGCACTGGCTACAGGTGAATGAGGGAGAGAGAGAGAAAGAGAGAGAGAGAGAGAGAGAGAGAGAGAGCGGTAGCTGCAGCGCAAGTCTTATTTTACTTTAAACTAACTCACGCGCCTCAGGCTTGCTGTAGCGCGCGATGCACATAGCCGGATCCGGCGGTCAAACTGTCGTTTGGACAGAAGGCTTGGTGATGTTGGATTGAACCCGAACATCGTGGCTACCATGTGTGCTCATCGTCTTTGATGCTCGATGAGTTGAAGTTGTTCAGCGGGCTTAGCATGTTTTCTTTGTTCGTAATCACGGATTCCGTTTGCTCAGCAGTTGGTAGACACTGGTTAGTGATGTGAGCGCAGCGCCTCATAGGCACGGCACCAATTTGCTGATTGCCCTTTTCGATTGTTTTGTTGGTTCATCTCTCAACCCTCTCGCTTTGTTATCTCCAGGCCATTGTGATGCGTGCCTACGCCCATCCCAGCATTGTGTCAATGTACGCCAGCTACCTCGTGGGAGATGAGCTGTGGGTGTTGATGGAGTACATGGAATGCGGCGCCCTCACGGACATCATCTCACATGCGAAGTATGTTCCCTTTTGGCCCATCAAATTCATACAATCACTTGTTTGTGCTGTCAACGATGAGATTTTTGGAGTGAGATCCCAGTCCTACACTTTGTTTGTGAATTTTACCGGTTTATTTCTCTGATTACTTTTATTGGGAAGCCAACGAGCACTCCCAGTTGTCATGAACGAGCATTAGAACCTTCGGCTGTTTGCTGTCTTCACGGGCAGGTGACAGAGTGTTGTAACCGAGTGTGTTCCTGCGTCTGGAGTGCTCGCCTGCGTCTCCACTGTTGTAACCTAGTGTGTTCTTGTGTCAACATTGGTTATGTTCCCCCAGTGCGTGTTATGAAGAGAAGACAGAATGGAATAACAGCTAGTACCTTACTGTCACTTGTACTAGTACATGAACTCTGGTCCGTGTGTCCAGCAGTAGTCTACTGTGGTCGGTCTCGTCTAGGCAGCAGTCTCGTCTGGGCAACATGTCCACAACAGAGTCCCGTTCTGCTAGCGCCTCGCTATTTAAGGGGCAGTCGTCATTGCCCCCCATTGGCTCTCCCAGTGCGCACGCTTGCTTACGCACGTCTGTGCGTCTGTCCTCGCGTGAACTCACTGACAACAGTAGTCCGGCTCCTGGGGCAGTCTGACTCCACATGCCTTCTTTGTCCCGGCATAATGTCCACCCTTTGAT